AATGGAGATTTGTCTCTTTTTTTTTAATAATATGTTTATTGCATTTTCAAAAATTAAACCACAACATAAACAAACAGTTGTAAAGAGTAACATCAGTGGCTATTAGCCACAAGGTATAGATAGGGCCTCTGGGGCAAGTGATGCTCTGTCTTCTTGGTGCTTGGGGGGGGTCAACAGTGGGAGGGCTTCTAGTGTCCTGGCCCCACTGCTGGACCTCCTGATGGCACCTGGTATTTTTAGCCACTGTGTGACAGTGTTGGACTGGATGGGCCATTGGTCTGATCCAGCATTGGCTTCTCTTATGTTCTTATGTTCACAAGGGGGCGGTGGCGCAGGCAGTAAAAAGCCTGCAAGATAATCCATCAACTGCCTTAGGCAGTTCGAGTCCCACCGTGGCCGGGGTGAGCTCCCGGCCCTTGCCCTAGCTCCTGCCTATCCAGCGGTTCGAAAGCCTAGCAAGTAGATAAATGGGTACCTGCCTTAGGTGCAGGGGGGCACCCGCCTCCGGTGCAAAGTGGCAACAGAAGAACTATGGTGCTGGCGGCAGGCAACGGCGGTGGAAAGGTGGAGCGATCCGGTAAAAAAGAACATGGTGGCGAGTCGACATCAAGCAGCTGGCGTTCCGGGTGGGGACTGGTCCAGGGTCGCGGCGACGCAGCATGGCCAGAGCCATCGGACAGAGGCCAGTGCAGCAAGTCATCGCACAGTCGCGGTCTATGGAAACTTCCCCTGAAGGAGCCGCTGCGGAGCCGCGCCAAACCACCACGAGGAAGCCACAGGAATATCAAAGCCGGAGGGGTGCCTGGTAGGCAATCATCTTCCCTACATTGTGTGGCCTTAGCTAGAAAGTTTAAATACCTATGTAAACTGCTCAGAGCCTCCGGGGTGGAGCGGTAGAGAAATTGAAGTAATAATAATAATAAATATAATGGTTCCCAAAGTGGGCTGTACCACCCTTGGGGTTGGTGGGATTCCCTAGGGGGATGTTAAGAGGCAAGATGCAATAGGGGGGCTCTGGAGATGGGCCCTTTTGGCCATGTTGTTGACTTATTTACAATTAACCAGACTATGGCACCATGCTGGCAAATGGCACTCCAAGTTTCTGTCTCTGCCTAGTGCTGAAATCTGGTGAAAACTATCAGATTTTTAAAGTAAATATGCCACCAGAGCTCTAGTGGGACTAGTATACTATGTTTTGAGAAACTCATAACTCCATGTGTGTCTCTTGTCATTTGGGGGGGTTGGTTGCTGGTAGGTCCTTAACATAATTGTATTGAGCACGGTATTTATTTTTCTGAGCTCATTTCCAACATCCTGTTTGGTGGAATGTGGTTTTAGTGTGGTCATCCAACTTCTCTCCAAGCAAAGAAATTGGCTCCAGATTACCAAACATGGTGATTTAAGAACCCTGCTAAGTGGTTTTAACCAGCCATTAGGAAATGGTGTCACTTCATCAAGCCCCCATCCATTATATTAAGAATTTACTGAACAATGACGTAGTTACTAAATGTGGTATATGAGATTCTTGCTAAACGATTTATCAGATTTGGAAACGCTGGTATCATTGGAACAAGTTCTTCCCTAATGGGTCGTGCGGACTGCTGCTCTGAATAATGCCTTTTATAGGGAAGAGGGCAATAAGGATGAGTTTATGGATCCAAAGGGGCGGTGGCCTGAAACATTTTGGGAACCACTGCTGTAGAGCCATTGTCAGTCAGAGCAGGCAATACTGTCCTCAATAGACCAGTGGTCTGACTTTGGTCTATTGGTAGCATGTAACATGGTAGAAAAGTTTGCAAGCCTGGTTTTTGTAGTCCATGGAAGATGGTAAATGAAGGCATCGCAACTGGAAGCTATTCGTTTTTTGGAAGAAATTAGATGGTATTTTCAAGGAAATATTTATTGCTTCAATGACAGTGCACCTAACTTTGCCCACAGTTACTGGGTGTGGTGTTAGTCTACTGCTGAAGCAATAGTTAACCATGTTAGTTAGATTTATTGATAATCTTTTACACCCTGACCTGTTAGGCTGGAGGCAGATACTAAGGTTTGGGTTTCTAAACTGCATTTTTTACTATATTAAAACCACAATTTAAGCAGGAGTACCAATGTGTCCACTCAGAATGCCATCTTCCCCACCCCCCATCTTGTTTTTTTTAATATCAGTCGTCGTTTTGTAAACTGAATTGAGCAATATGGAAATGTTTTCTGTGAATACACCTGATTTAAGGAGGGAAGTTTCTTATGTGTACACTTAATGCATTATTATCTTTTATTATAAATGTCTTGATTTTTGTGTTCCTAAGTTAATAAAATCTTTACTCAAGTTTTAAATTTCAAACCACTTTTTGCCTCATATTCCCCAATGGCAACATTGAAAATATATTTAATGCCTATCTCTAACATTTGGTATTGTTTGAATAACACCAAATTGCTTGTAACTACTTGAATATCAAATACACCAAACTGTAATAATTTGTTCATTATTAAATTATACATGATGGATTTTGTTTTTAAAATGCTAAAGAGGGTTTTGATCCGATAACAATTAGTATAACATATTTCAGTCCCCACCCCCAGTATCTCTCGGGGTTTTTTTTTCAGGATACTGGTGGTGGAAAGAAACCATCTTTAGCTGTGGTCACACGGAGCATTAGCCATGCTACAGAGACGGAAGATAGGTGGATTTTCCGGGCGTGAGCGCACAAGCACCCAACGTGCATGCACACACTTCAGCCCCCTCTTTTTCGTACCCCCCCTCACACTCCTGGCTCGGCCTGCTCGAGAGGAACTCTCTGCACCGGGCGGCAGAGGGGGAGGTGCGGGGGGGCGATCCAGCTGAAGCTCCTCCTGGAGGGGACCAGACGGAGGACACAGTTTGCATTCCTCTGCAGCCCTGGAAGGGGTTAAACCCGCGGAGCCTTTTGCTAGAGAGGCCGCTTCTTTGCCCTGCCGCAGGATTGTCCTGTGATCGGCACCTCCCCCCTAACCACGAGACCTCTACGGGACGTCTGATCGCGCAGCTGCACGTTATTTTGCTCCGGGGCGAACAGCCACACTCATCCCCCCCCCCGCATTTTCCTGCCCGTGTGACCGGGGCCTATGTTTTCTTTTTCTCATAGGTCTTCAAAACTTCCAGAAATTTTAGTCTTTACTTTTGAGCATGTGAAGGGCACTTTTCCATCAGGGCAAGTGGTAGTTGGCCTTTAATCCATTAGAGGGCACCAGGTGTCACTGACTGCCTTTCATCCCACAATTAAAAAAAAAAAAGACATACCAGCGGTCCAGTCAAGATACCTTTTATATAGGTATATATTAAACATGCATGCACTATTCACAGATCTAATGATCATGTTCAATGAGGATCTTGTGCCTGATGGCCCCTGGCCAACCCATTAGGTCTGGGTCCTCTTGGCTATGTGCCATTTCCTTTAGGGGCTTGGTAGAAAAAGCCAGGGTTTATCTTCGAGGAAAGATTGCCAATATGAAACAACTCTCATCAGATGTCACTGCAAGTGGGAGAAACTGCTGTAAAATTCTGAATGTTTCCCAAAATTCTGAATGTACCCCAAGATAAACTGCCCCTTGGTGGCTCAGGATGATGACTCTGGGTTGAAAAGCTCCTGGGGGTAGAGACCGGGGAAGGTGGGGTTTGGGGAGGGGTTTCAGCAGGTTATAATGCAAGAGTCCACTTTCCAAAGCAGCAGTCTTCTCCAGGGGAGCTGGTCTCTGCAGCCTGGAGATGAGTTGTAACTCTAGGAGATCTGCAGGCCCCATCTGGCAGTTGCCGCCACCCCTCCTCTTTCTCCTTCAGCTACCAGTGTTGTTTTCAAACTGCCTAGAGCCTGGGCACCTCTCACTAGCCCAGGGGTCCCCGATCTCACCTTCGGAATTCTGGCACAGGGTGGAGGGCACAATCACAAAATGGCTGCCACAGGAGGCGGAGCCAATCACAAAATGGCTGCTGCAAGAGGACCACAGAACCCCAAGGAGTGAAGTTACACACGACTCTAATAATAAAATTTGACATTCCATGCAGATGCTCTGTTTAAAAAGATGCCTTTCAATCTGCACAGCCAATCAGAAGCCCTGCTGGGCAAACGCCCTACCCACTTTCTAAAAAGCACTTGGCGGGCATCACGTTGGGGACCACTGCTGCAGAACTTCCGAAGGGCATTTCTATTGCATGCAAAATTGCTGGCCTTGAGGACTAGCCGCATCTACTGTTGAGCCAGAGACTACTAACTCAGGTGCGTGACAAAGCGCGTTTCTGACTCATGCCCATTGTGCGGTCATGTTTTAATTTGGTTTTAAATATGTCGCATTTTATATTTTTTTTTGTTTTACATGTTTATTAAGAGGAAGTATAACATATCAAGAAATATAATAACTGCAAAACAGTATACAACTGTCCTGAAAATCTAATATAACAAACCAACCAGTTAGTCATCAATACAAATTTTTACAACATATATCAACAGTCATAACAAACTAAGTTAGTACTAAATCTGATCACCTATACATATATGCTATGTGAGCTATGATTCCCACAGAATTGAGTCAGGCATTTTATATTGTTGTTACCCGCCCTGAGCCCGTTTTCGGGGAGGGCGGGATACAAAGCCAAACGAATAAAATCTTTCCAGCTTCAGCAGAGCTCCTCGTCCCCGTCCCCCCCGCAGAAACTGCTCTTGACTTGCTCCCTTTCCGCTCCTTGCTTCCCCAAGCGACGCTCCCCACCTGCTTCCCCCCCCCTCCACCCCCTCCCGCCTTGGTGCTCCAATTCCCCGTGGCTGGAGCGGAACCTCTCCGCGGCCAATCGGAAGGCTGCTCTCTCTTGGGCCGCCTTGCTGCACGCGGGGGCTGGCCCCACCCACTCCCTAGTTTCTCACGCGAGGGGGGGGAGGGGGGGCACGGCGAGGCTCTCTCCAGGGCCGGCCTTGGCCCCGCCCCCTCCCCCGTTGTTCCTTCCGGCTTCTTTCTCTGGCTGGTGCGCGGTCTGTGGCTCCGCTCCCTCCGCCCTCCCCGGGCTCCCTTCCGAAAATGACACATGGGGATGGAGAGGGGGGCCTGAACCTCCTCCGGGGCTCGGACGGGACGCCGACGGGGGACTGAGGGGAGGTGGGCCGCTTATTTTATTTATTTATTTTTAAGCCAAAGAGCCAGACTCCTAGTTCAAAGTTCACCAAGCATCGCCATCCCTCCCTCCCCCCAAAAAAAGTGCAGTGGATTTTTTTTTTTTTTTGGGAAAAATTCAAAAAGGGGGCCTTGGTTTGGGGTTTTTCCCCCCCCCCCCGGTGTAATTCGCAAGAGCCTTCTCCCTTCTCCGTTGCTCCTGGCGCTGAGCAAGGGAAGCAGAGGGGCTGAGGTTTCCCCTCTGCCTTTATCAGAGCTTAAGTTTACTTCTGGAGCGGTGGGGGGAGGAGGGGCTGTAGTGGGGGGGGAGAGGACACCCCTTTTTCCTTCCCCCCCTCCCCACTTCTTTGTGCTGTTTGTGGGAAACTGGATAAGAAAAGGGAGTTTCGCCAGTAGAGGGAAAGAAGGGCGAACCCCTTTAAAAATACAGGCATGCAGATGGGGGACGTTTGGGAAAAAATCTCTGTGAAGATTTTTTTGGATGTGGAATTGAGGGCAGTGATTTGGGGGGAGGGGGGCTTCGTTTCTGGTCCAGGCTCACTCCCCTTTTGTTTGCTTGGGTGTATGTCCTGTTCTCTGGTTACGGTGATTCAGAGGGAGTTCGGAAACTGTCGGGACAGGGTGGTACCCAGAACCTAGCCCTCCCCCTCCCCAAAACTGGAAAGAGAGGTGCCGGACTGAACAGGAGTCCTGCCAAGATCTGTGCCATGCCTTTGTCCATTCAAAAGTGCTCTGCAGAAAACTGCCTTTACAGTGTGGGTGCCAAATAGGCTGGCTGGCTGGCTGGCAGGCAGAGAAGATGCCTTTTCTCTCCTTCATATACACCCTGTTGTTGTTTTTTAATGGCGATTGGGCAGGGAGAAGGTGTGGTATTTTTATGACAGGGACCTGTTTTAACCAACAGGCTAGAGGGGGGGATAGCTTAATTTATATTTGTCATTAATGTATAAGGGTGGTGTGCTTGAAATTAGGTCTTCATGACCCTCTGTAGGAGGAGAAAAGAGCAAGACTCCAGTGGCAACTTAAAGACTAACAAAATTTGTGGCGGGGGATGAGCTTTTGGGAGACACTGCTCACTCCTTCAGATGAAGTGAGCAATAGTGAAGTGAAGAAGTGGCAGGGACTCATGAAAGCTCATATCCCACCACAAATGTTGTTAAAGATGCTACTGGACTCTAGCTGTTTTCTACTTCTACAGGCAGACGATGTGGCTACCCGTCTTGATCTAACCCAGAGGTTTCCATACTTATTTGGCCTACTGCCCCCTTTTCAGGAAAAAAAATATTACTCGGCGCCCCCCTGGAAATCTACCTTCAAGAAGTGGACAAAAAGATGCAGTGACAAATTTGCACCCAAGGCTCCTACCGCCCATCTGGATCGTTCCAGTGCCCCTCAGGGGGCAGTATTGCTCACTTTGGGAACCAGTGATCTAACCCTGTGTGTAGGAGTCAAGTCTGAGGGAGAGAAAGAACTTGCCTAAATCCACAACTCAGTTAAAACTTGACGGCTGGGCAAGGGGATGTATTTTGGCGTATTGCTTGTCAAATTCTGACACTCTTACAAAGTATACACAAATATCAGTTATTGTGGACTTTAGGAAGCCTGTTTTTTTTGTTGTTTGGGGGGGAGAACTGTGCTTAGATTGTGGTTTATGTCCGTAGGAGGCCACCGCGGTTCTCTCTGCTGTTCTAGAGGTGGTCTGTTGCCGTGTGGAGAAGGCCAGTCCGGGTAAAAATGTAATTTTCTTTTTCAGGGCGCCAGTCTGTTTTCTTGGTTACTGGATGATATAGATGATGGTCCCTCTTCCATCCCTAAGAATTCGATGAATGTAATGAGCTGGAGTGTCTGAGGAGATCTGGCCAAAAAAAGAGGCATATTTGAGAGCGGGCCTGAACTCAAAAGCGGTGGGTACTCTTGTGCCAGGCCTTGCTAGTTTGATGTCAGTTAAAAACCTCTGGGCTGTGCTCTGAAATCTCTTGTCTTGACTACTGCGGCTCCTCCCCCTTGGCCCTTCCTCATCCCTCCATTCCCTCATCCCTGCTGCTAAGAAAGTTCACCTCCCGTTGCTCCTGCTTTGAGACACCTCCTCCTCAAATTACAACACTGCTTTCTTGGCCCCTTCTACAACCAATGCCAAATTGCCAATAGTATTCTCTCCACCTGTAGGAATCCCCATGACCCTACTCCGCCCCATCTTGCTGTATTTTCTGCTTTCTCCCTGCTTGTAATCGTCACTGCTCCATGGCTGCCTACGGTCTTCTAGATCTCTTACACAGAGCTTCTATCCCTAGTTACTCCTGATGTCTCAGACTCCTCGAACAGCCGCATCTTGGTCCTCCTCTTCAAAAGCCGCCTTGTTTAGACACCCCAGCTACACAAAATAAATCTGTTTTATGTATAGCTGCTTGCCCTGACCTGCATGGCTCAGGCTAGCCTGATCTTGGAAGCTAACCAGGCTTGAACCTGGTTAGTACTTGGATGGGAGACCACCAAGGAGGTCCAGGGTTGCTACGTAGAGGCAGGTAACAGTATGCCACCTCTGTTCGTCTCCTCTCTTGAAAACCCTGCCGCAGAGGTGTTGAACTCATCTGTGACATGGGCCGGATCTGACATAAATGTCGTCACTTTGTTGGGCCGGGTCGGGCCATGTGTGCCATAAAACGTGATGCCGGGTACCGGAGACATAACCTGTATAAAGGACAGCAGCTCGTAAGCTCTGAGTTGGTGTATCCTCACTGCAAGGCCCAATGGGCTGGGAGGCGGGTTTAGAGGAAAACCCACACGGACGGGACTGGCGAGTCAGCGGTGCAGCACGGGGCAGACGCTCCCACGCTGCTTGACTGCTGCAGACAAGGTTGTTCCTCTGTGCTGAAGCCACAGCTGGAGTGGCTCTACCCACTCCCCTCCCTGAGCAGTCTTCTGTTCCATCCCTGGATGAGCCCGTTCTGGCCCCCGGGCCTTGTGTTTGACACCCCTGCCCTACAGGGTTGCCGTACGTTGGCTGCCTCTTAACAGCGCATTCACCACCGTGTGTAGCTGTTTACAGTCATTGCAGAAGGACTGTGACTCGGTGGTAGAGCATCTGCTTGGCATGCAGAAGGTCTCGGGCTTAGTCCCTGGTATTTCCATTTGAAAAATTCAGGCAAGATGGGGAAGACCTCTGCCTGGAACCCTGAAGAGGTGTTGTCAGCCAGAGGAGACAAGAGTGACCTGGGTAGACTGGTGTTCTGACTCCAACTTCCCTTTCCCTTCCTTCTCTGCCTGCCCCGGGGGCAGAAGTGCTTGCTTTGGCTTCTGTCATACAGCACCAAGTCGATGCTACTGTACAGTTCACAGTAGGGACTGAACATGCGTCTTTTCCCTGTCCTTAAAAAAAACCAAAAAACCACACGGCATGAGAAACGGAGGTGTTCAATGCTTGTGTGAAATAGAACTGCTGCTTTGGAAATAATGGCCGAAAGGGAGAGGAGTCACACGGCAGACACGAAGGTTGTGAAGAATGTTCTCCAGTGTGGGGCAGGCTGCTAACCCTGGTCGTTTTCTAAAAACTTCACTCTGCCCACGAGGAGGAGAGCTGGTGTGGTAGAGTGGGTGAGGGTGCTGACCTCAGATGTGGGAGGCCCCCCATTCGAACGCTCCGCTTGATCGTGAAGCTCAGTGGGTGATCTTGGGAGATCGTTCCAGGTGGGGGCAGCCGTGTTGGTCTGAAGCAGCAGAACAGATTTAGAGTCCAGCGGCGTCTTTTAAGACCCACAAAGTTTTATTCAAGGTGTGAGCTTTTGTGTGTGTGCACACTTTTTCAAAAGCATTGGAATGGACGGTAAAAATTCAAATTTACAGACAGAACCTGAATAACCAATTAACATGTAACATGATAAAGATGTTTTAAAATATGCAAGGTAAAGGTTTCCCTTGCTCGAAAGCAGTCGAGTCCGACTCTAGGGTTGCGGTGCTCATCTCCGTTTCAAAGCCGAAGAGCCAGCGCTGTCTGAAGACGTTTCCGTGGTCATGTGGCCGGCATGACTAAACACCGAGGCACACGGAACGCTGTTACCTTCCCACCGAAGTGGTACCTATTTATCTACTTGCAATGTCTTACTTTCGAACGGCTAGGTTGGCAGGAGCTGGAACTAGACATGGGAGCTCACTCCGTCATGCGGCAACTCGGGTCTCGAACTGCTGAACTACCGACCTTCCACAGCCTGCAGTTCAGCGTCTTAACCACTCGAGCCACTATGCAAAGTCAAAACTAAATAACAAGCTAAGGTTATAAGGTCAACAATTTTGATTTAATTAAGGGGGGGAAAGGACAGCAAAGCAATATGTCAAAATTGGGGTTAAACGTGTAAAGGTATCTTTCTAATTGTGGAAAGTAAACTGAGACTTGATGGGTGATCTCGGGACAGCCATTCTCTTTCATTCTAACAGTGTTGTGAGGATAAAATGGAGGAGCTGACGATGTACACCAGGCTGAGCTTCATGACGGAAAGATAATATAAAATATAATTGGTATTATTATTGTTGTGCTGTTGTTGTTATTTTGAAATAGCCGTTGGTTGTTTCCAGATGGCTGTTCCTGAACTTTTAGCGGAGAGAGCTAGTGCTAGAAATCCCCATCTGCAACTAGAGGGCAGTTCTGAGAAGAGAGTAATGGGTAGTGAGCCATGCTTCAATCCTGCTGTATTTGCCTGCCGTCAAGTTCTGTTGCCGCAAACACTGCATCTGTCATGACTCAAAAGCCAGCAGCAGGGGGCAGGTGGTGTCTTTCAGTGGGCCTGGTTTGGCTTGGGGGACTCCCGTCGCTGACCTCTGTGCCAGTTCTGTGCCCAATAAGCAGTACATCCCTTGGCTTATACGGTGCTTATCTACCCAACCCCGTTCTCTACTCTGCTGTTAGGCAAGCAGTTCTTAAACGTGCAATGAACCTGGTTCTCCTAAATCTGAAGACGTTCTTTGTACGGAAGCACATGTACACATTGCTTGAAACCATTACTCAGGTACTGTTCTTTGGTCTCATTTATAAAGGGAACGTGCATTGGCTCTTTCTTACACACTGGTGTATGCACACATGTACAGGCTGTATGAGCATTAACTGTGACATGTGAACAGGGCTAGAAGGTGTGCCATTTACAGCACAAGGCTATGCAGTTGCTGTATTCTAAGCCCACAGATTTCAGTGGGCTTCAACTGGAGTCCCTCTGCATAGGCTTGCAGGCTTGGGGAGGGCCACAATACTCAGGAGCACCAATATCCCTCGAAATTTTGAGGTGGAAAAACTCCTCTTACAAGGCACTCTTTCACTGCATTTTAAGAACAATGTTCATTGCAATAACTAGAAATGTTAGCACTCTGAAGAGACATTCGCTGCAATGGTGGCCTGGAAACTTTTTTCTCGATTCTATCCACCAGTATTTCTCAGCCGTCTTCCCAGACATGAAGCTGCCTTGTCCTGAATTGGGCTCTTGCTCCATCATCGTAGGGACTGTGGCTCTCTCCAGCTGGGTCTCCAAGGTCTCCAGGCAGAGGTCTTTCACATCACCTGCCGCCAGGTTCTTCCACTGGAGATGCCAGGGACCTCCTGCATGTCAAGCAGATGCTCTACCACTGAGCCATGGCCCTTGCCATCCCCAGATGAATTTGGGTTGCAGCATACATTTGTCATGACGCCGATGGCAAAACAGGATCCATGTGGTAAACCTTCCCTTCCCTCTTTCTCAGTACTTAGGCTCACACTGCATGGATGGCAACAATCGTAAGTTGAGCATCATTGGTAGCTGTAGCCAAGGAAATAACGCAGGAGAGAAGAATCATCGTTGTGAAATGATATAGCTAAAAGTGACCTACCAGGTAGGCCCCAGTCATATGTTGCTTGGTGGGGGGACAAGAGCTGGCCACGGGCTTGTGTGCACTGTCCCTCTCCCCAAATCCCACCTCTCTAATTGGGTACAAAGAAATGTACGACTTCGATGCATTCACAGGCTGCGTGGATTATCTGGAATCTCCCTGGGTCCATTATTCTGAGACTTAAAGAGGTGTGGAGAGCAGGTCAGAGTAAATCCTGTGTACTGATGGAACACAGTATTACACTAGCTCATGTGTTGCTTTCTGCCAGTGTACAGTAGAATTACGAGTTTGCAGAGGGTCGGAAGCGAGAATGATTTGCCCAAGTAAGCTTCATTGTGACTAAGCTGAGGCTTCTTTTAAGTCAGGTCTACACAACATGTGACCCACAAACCCACCAGCTATGCACCTGAAATGTACTGTGGCCACCGGGGGCCCGCCTGCCTGCCTGGGACTACAAAACATGAGCAGCAGGGTTGCCAGGTAGGGGTAATAGGCCTTTGACACGGTGAGTCCAGCCAGATCTCAGCGACAACGTGAGCTTAATTCAGAAGACGTGATAGGAAAGGGCTTTCAAAGGCCATTGGGTAAGGTAGAAGTTTGCTTTGTTTGGGAAAGGTGTTTAAGGAGAATAGCCTACAAAGCCGTATGACAAAAGTGCTTGGTTTAAAATTTCGTGTCTGTTAACAAGGGTGAGAGGTGAGTGCGGATATTTTCTGTGAGAATAGCATTTGTAGAGCAGCGTGCAGGTGGGAGCAAAGACTGGCAAGGACCGACAACCCAGCAACTGTGGCACTGAATCACTTGCGAGGATTTGACGCCAGCTTGGTGGGGGTAGTTTACTTGCGAGAGAGCGGACGCTCCTGTCTTAGCAAATTGATGGCCTTCATGAACTCACAACAGAAATGGCGCAGTCTGGTTTGAATGCTCAGTGCCTGTAATGCTTATCAATAACTTTCTCGTTTCATTATGTGTCCCTTAGAATCAGGAGGTGTGTGCTGGTTTAGTGATTCACCTGCAACATTCGTATCCCATCTTTTGAAAAAGCACTCCTGAGTGTCTT